GCTCCTGCTTTTGCATAAGTAAGCCTAGATCTTGTTGGAATCTGTATTCGTGTCTATCTATGTGTACATGTGTGTCTACGTGCGTGTGTGTGTGGATGAATGAGAAAAAGAGAGACTGAGTGAACAGTAGAGTGTAAATAAAACCACAAATAATTGCCCTTCAGGAAATCACTATCCCATGAATCTGAAAGTAAGTACAATTAAAAGAGGGCTGTTCCCCTGTCTTTGTTTCACAAAGCTGAATGAGGGAGCAGAGTGTTTAATGGAAAACGACCTGAACTGAAGAGAGCAGGATTTAGCCGCAGGTCCAACAGGAAGCCTCTCTGTAACCTGGGGCGAGGCAGTGAGCCCCTCCCCGCTCCGAGTTCCTCGTCTGTAAAATAGGTGCTGAGGCTGACTAGCTAAAATGTCGTTTCCAGCCCTAGAAATCTGATTTAACTCTTCTATACATTTGGGTTTTCTTAAAACATGAAGTAGTAGTCACTTGGGCTCCATCACCAAACAGCACTTCATACCAACTTCAGGTCAGCCTCCACGGTGGCTAACAGGTGACCGTTACCACATGGGAGGAACGGAGTGCGCTGTCATCGGCATCTCTGTTGCCAAGCGGAGGGCTCATTTTCAGAGAGTCGGAGACTCTCATAATTTGGAAGGAGTCTTGGAGATTTGCTCAATCCGCCGCCCAGAGCAGGAACGTCTTCTTAACATGTGAAGTGCTCCCTCTCTTACCTCGCCACCTAGTCCATCGTTAGACGACTCATTTAGAAATATTTTCCTCGTAAAGAAATGAGTTCTGTTTCCTACTAAGTCTTTTAACACCTCTTACAAATAAATTACTCGTTTCTTTTGGATATTTGAAACTTTGTACTACAAAATATCGACAAAAACAACAACAACAAAACCCACATAATTATTATGGTTTATGTGTCTGGTGCAGCAACCGTTCACATCTCCCCTATATTAGTTGTCTCTGCGTCAGACAACCGCTCCCTGTTCCTACATCTCTCGAGTTCAGCGTTTTTTCTCATTTCTCACGAAGCACAATACCTCTCACATGGCCGGTGCTCAGTGTTCCTCGCTTTGGGTGAATTGCAACCCTTAAAATATTTGAAGGCTGTTATCAGGTTTCCTCAACCTACACAGGCTAAAAATGCGGGCTTCTCTCAACTGCTCTGTGTACCAAAAAGTCCCTTCTTTGAACATGTTCCACGTGTCAGAGTGCTCCCCCACCCACACACTTTGATCCCCAAACAGAGCCTAAGGATCGGGTGAGCGCAGGGTGGCCTTGGTTCCCCAATCACCTCGCTGCCTGGGGACGCAAGCAAGCTGGCAGAGACCTAAAATCCCACGTTTTCACAGGAACTTCAGTTCAGTCAGGTCTCTCTCATCCTTCACTTACATAAATCGAATGTTTGAAACTAAATCCGGAATTTCGTATTGATTTCTGTTAAAACCCATTTTATTATAGTTTCAGCTCATCACTTCCCAAATTGTAAAGATCTGTCTGAATCACAATTCTATCACCTAGCTCTTTGGTTATCCATCCCAGCTAGGCTAGGTGTCACCTGAAAATTGTTCAAGCACTATACGTGTCTATGTAGAGTTCTTGACAAAAATAGTGAACGAGAGAGGTTCACATATGATGCTGAACCATATAAAACTACCATTCTTATGGGTCGAATATCACCAATAGTTAGTGGTGCAAACTAATACACGGTACCAGGAACTTCCAGGTGGGCACAGTGCTTTAATCCAGCTTCTGTTGTTGCTACTGCTTAACTAAGTGCCATTCCACCTGGGCATAGTACAGGGTGGCCCGAATTGCCTCATTTTGTCCTAAAGAAAATGTCGATGCAAACTATTAAATGCTTTGTAAAATTGTAATAAACAGGAAGAGCAGAAGCTCTGGTACCAGCCAGCCCACCTTGTTGAGCTCCAGCTCTGTCACTAATTAGCTGTGTGACCTCTCATAAGTTAATTGACCCCTGTGCCTCTGTTTCTTCATCTGGAAAATGTGGATGATGGTAGCACGAGCCTCATAGGACTATTTGAGGCCTGAATGAATGTGTGTGTGTTGCGGGGGGCGGTGTGCGGTGTGGCACCCAGCGGGTGCACAGTAAATGTTGCAAATTATTAGGATAACGCCTTTCCTTGCAAAATCAGGCTGATTCCAGGGAGTTTTACTTCTTTATTCTATCAAGTGCTCACAAATGGTTTACTAATCAAACCAGCCAAGATTTGGGCCAGGGATCAGCATCAGGCCCACTGGATGTTGGTTTCTGAAACACGTATCCTACTTTTAAAAGCAGGATGCGTGTTAATTTGTCCTTACGTCTTTCGGCACAGGTCCTCATGCCCCATTCACTACAGGTTTTCCGTATGGGTTTCCCAGTCACATCCGCACATCTGTCATCCGCCGGCAGATCTGAGTTCATTTACAGCCGGTAAGGTGAGCTCTTAACTATGTATTCAACCTGTTAGGGCTCAGATCCTTTTCTAGCCAATATCGTGAAAATGAAGATCATTTTCTTTTCCCGGTTAGAAAAGTTTTAAAGAAAAATATGAAGCGAATTTCTCTGTCTTCTTTGTGCTGCTGTTAACACTGAGATTGAGCTAAGTAAGGACAGACACATGCTTCCTTGACATTCTTCCAGCTCTGAAGACATCAAAATGTCTTCTCAATTGCTAGCATGCTTCCCAAGCCTCCCCTAACTCTGTCCTTTAGTGTGGAGTCACACAACATACCCATTTGTGTCATTCTTTGTGGTTACCCCAGCCGGGAGTGAATGAAAAACATATTCACCCTGTGTGAGTCTTTTAAAGACCCAAACTCATCAGAGACCTCCCTCAGTGGCCACGCTCACTTGTTTCCTTAGCTGTCACCCATCTTGTTCATGATAATTTATGATCAAAGAGCTAGAGCTTAAGCCACCTTCCCTTTTTGAATTCAGACTACGGGGTCACCACCAGATGTTCTTCAGATGTTTTGAATTCTGTTTTCCTAAAGTCTAGGGTATTTGTTAGCTCTTGGACAAACATTTTCTTCCTACACCATTATGTGGCGGTCCCTTGTATATGAGGTGGCCATTAATTCCAGTCTTTCCTTCCAGTAATATGGTTTGGGGTAGTAGAGGGCAGAAAGCAACAGATTCCTTCATTACATTTTCCACTTTCTGAAAGATTGAATCACTAGCAGGGGAAATCAAGAACTTACTAGATTTTGTAAATTTTTTTTTAGAGGGAGGCAGAATGAGACTTTCTTTAAGTACTTTAAGTAAACTTTTCACTGGTTTATAACATAGATACAGAAAACACCTTAAATCCTCAGTAAAGAGCTCGATGAATTTTCACAAAGTGAACACACCCATACAACTCCCCAATCACGAAGCCTATCAGCTCTGCCGAAACTTCCTTCTTGCTTCATAAATTAGTTTTAATGGATTTATAATCTGTGCTGGGAAAATGAGAATTATCATAACAGGGTTAACACTTGTCGAGAACTTGAACTGTATGTCAAACAGGCACTGTGCTGAACACCGTATATGCCTTGCCTCTTTTAGTCCTCACAACAGCTCTGTGAGTGGGTCTTATTATTTCTCCCATTTTAAAGAAAAGAAACTGAAGTCTAGAGAGGTTCGGTTACTTGCCCAGGGTCACTGGCTAATAAGAAATGGAGTTGGGATTCAAACCCAGGTCTAGCTAGTTCTAGAGACTGCACTCAAACCACTGCAGTGGATGCACAGTCCACAGTTTCCACCCAGCCAGCCAGGCTGTAGATCAGGGGTTCTCAACCTTGGGACTATTGATTGACATTTGGGGTCAGATAATTTTTGGTCACGGGGGCTGCTCTGTGCATTATAGTATGTTTACCAGCAACCATAGCCTCTTTCCACAAGATGCCAGAAGCTCAACCCCTTCTTCACCCTGGTTCTGATAATCAAACTGGTCCCTGGATATTGCCAAATGTTCCCCGGGGAGTTGAGAGCCGCTGTTGTAGATATTTTCACATTTTCATATGTCCCTTCTGTCACCTCACCCATTTGCTCTCTGCTCCGAGTCCATCCTGAGATGAACGGACTTAACACAGTTGTGTATCTGCCTGGTGGGTAGCACTATTCTACACTCCTGGGATCCACCGTTTCCTTCGGAACTACTGGCCGGAAGTCACGCACCTCACAGGCCAGGTTGCCTTTAACGATCTGAATTAAGAGGTCTGCTTCATTTTATTATCCAAATACTTCCATCGAAGCCACCACTCCGGCTGCTCTGCCACAAGGGTCACAGCTCCGGTCTTTCTCGTCACCTTTGCACAGAATATCACTGGCTCTTCCTCCGTGCACTCCCTCTCCATGCCTGCCACCCATCGGCCTCCCTGTATGTAACTATGTGTCAGAGTCAAGGAAGGAAAAGCTGGCACACTCAAAAAAGGCAACGTGAGAAGCTGTTACTAAAGATATTAATTACGAAGAGGAGAGCTTGATTTGGGGAAGCCAAAGCAAGAGAATGGCAACCACGTGGAGCAAGGAAGGAAAAGCTGGCACACTCAAAAAAGGCAATGTGAGAAGCTGTTACTGTTGCGACTCCCAGGACCGAAGGGCAAGTGGAAAGTGTGGGTGCTTGAGCCCAGAGGGAGTTCCTGTACAGACGGCGTGGGAGCCCAACGAAGCAGCCTATGTGGTCAGATTCTCTCCCCCACGGCACAAAGCAGGTCCGGAGGGGCAAGCGGAAGATGTATAGGGCAGTGTCTTCGGGTTTTATCTGAGCACATTTCTCTGCTCCCTTCCCTAAATTTCACTTTGAAGTCCTCTTTATCACATTTAGAGCTGCTCGCCAAACACATTTATCTCGCCAGGAGCCCATCATTCTAGTGTCACTGGCCATGGTTTTCTAAATCCTCTTTTGGGATACCATCTATGTAGCCAGCTGTTCGTTTCTCTCCTCCTGTCTCTTCCCACATTGCAGACCTCAACTGGAAGAAGAAATGCGGACCCCCGATTTACCTTGTAAGATCTGGATGGGTTCTCTTTCCATCAGCTTCAGGGAGGAGAGAACTATCTTCCGGTTTTTCCTTTGGCTGATGTTCAGATCGGGGTTTGTGAAACCCTCAGTTCTAGGTGTTCTCACGATTATTTCCGACGATGCACAATGCCGCTTTTCCCTCACATCTGGACTCATCCCGAGTAGGAAGGTCTTCAGGGCTGTGGGAAAGAGAGCTTCAAAGCTGAAACTTTCTCTTTGTCCTCCAAGCCACACGCTTGCGGAAATGCTCCCTGTCTCATTAAAAATACATGCCCCACCCCATTTTTACTACATTCTGAAGTATTTCTTCCACTTGTCACCTCTGCAAAGGCTTTCCTCAAGCCCCTTTACCTTCTCCAGGGACACCGGTGGCATTTATGGCACATGGGGGGGAGCGTGCGCATGCGCGGGGTGGGGGGAAGGGGAGGTGCAAATATTTATGTAAGTCTGTGTTACTTTTTAAAGTGAAAGAGAGGGAAAAAAAAAAGATTTGTCCATTTTGGTAAATAAAAAGAACACATAGGAAATCTGGACAGTCTTGGGGAAGGGGAGGGAAGAGGAAGAGCAGAGGGAAGGGGAGGGGAGGGGAGGAGAGACCCAGGCATGCAGACTCAGAATACTTCCTCTTATGTTCCTGCACCACTTGAGAGTCAAGTTGAAAAACCACCTTATGTAGTTCCTCCTATACATTTCCATTTCTGCTCTCTTCGGAGTTCCTGGTCTCTTGGGATTCTTGGTCACAGTGCCATTAAGTTGACACAGCTGTTTTCCTCCCCGACTCACCTAACCTCTGATAATCTGCGAGGTACCGGTAATTAGCAGTAAATCGCACTAGCTGTGAATCAAGTCCAGTTCCTCGCAGTGAACACAGCGAGGCAGGGATGCAGCTCTCGATGCACAGATCCGTGATGGCGACACTGCGCATACTCCACGCCTCTCTTCCCACCTCCTGCCACGCATGCTCTTTTGCTGCTCGGCTCTTCACTGTAATTGTAGATTATGCCTGTGTTAAGATTTTCCTTCTCAGTCTAACGGTAAGCTTAACTCACAGAGTTTTATTTTTAATTAAGGCGGCTTGCCACTTTAAAAAGTGCTTATAATAATTAGACTTGAGAACAATCACATACACATACAAACACAAAATTGATAGAAAATGATTATGAAAATCTTTAATTTATGTGACTTTTTTAGTTTTCAGAGTACTTTCATTATTTTCCTAAGTTCGTAGCATTATTGTGACATATCTAAGGCAGGTATTAGTTTTCATATTACAGAGGAGACAGCTCAGGCAAAGCCATTTGATTTATTCTTGCCTTTTGACTTTGTCGGTCTTACAGTTATTATCTGATCAGATTAAGTCAGCACCTTTAAATTTTGCTGTCAGTATCAACACTAACTTCCTGATTTTGATAACTGTAGTGTGGGTATGGACTTGTTCTTCAGGAGTATACATTGAAGTATTCAGGAATAAAAGAATACAATTTGCTACTCATCAGATAATTAAAAAAAGAAAGGTTATGTGAGTATGTATACCAATTTATCTGTATCAATATCCGTCTATCTATCTATCTATCTATCTATCTATCTATCTATCTATCTACCTACCTACCTACCTATCATCTAGAGTGCAAATAAAATTTCATTGGTTACCATTAGACGTAGATAGGACACTACGCTATTATTAACCCTATTTGAAAATTGGGAACTAAAAAATTTCTCCTAGGAGTGTATTAATAGTGAAAAGGTTATTTGTCAAATATATTCTTTAGAAGGTGCTTTCTAAACATTTGATCACACATGACAATCTGTAAAAAATTGTTTGAACATATTCCCCCAGCATGTTTATTGGTTTATTTATAAATTACACATAGTGCTAATGTACCGGTAGGATATACATAAATAGTAAATAAATCATATTTTAAAATAGCATTTTGTTTATTAATGATAAAAATTCCCCTTTTAATTACATTAAAATTAATATTAACAAATGATTTATAGAGAGAGCCATGTTATTGAATATGCTTACTTAATTTTTTAAAATCTTGGCTTAACACTGTGTGATTTAGCAATTCAAAGTTCTGGTTCCAAGCTTAGTCTCTCCTGATTTTTGATTTTAAAGATTATTGAGTGAAAAAGATATCCCACACCACGTGTAGATCCAAACAGAAGACCTGCCCATACTGGTCTTCATTGCGATTTGGCTAGTGAAGTTCCATTTTTCGGAAGGCATTACATTGTAATATTTATATCATCTGGGTTTAAAACTCATCGGAAGTCCTTTTTTTGGAAAATTTTTAACAGATTAGTTTCTAAATTGTTTCTAAATTCATTTTAAGGGTACAGATATGAAGTTTTCACAGGCGACATTTTTCTTGGCTACAAAATTCCATTTTCATCCTTCAAAATGATTTCTCAAAAGCACCTGTTTCTTTTGAAACATTGTTATTTGAAGGAGCAGATTAAGTGTGCTTATTTTTTTTGAAAATATATACTTGGTTACAAACTACTTACTGTCATACATTGTCACAGAAAGGTCGGTGAATTTGGAGCACTTCCCTTTTGGTAAAAGAAAAAATGTTAAAATCCCATCTCTAAGTCCACAGCTCTTCAAACTAATTTTTGATGAGTTCGCCAGCAAATTTCTATGAGGTATAAAAGATTTTCAGTCACTCCTCATCTCATTAAAAATGTACTGTAAAGATTTTCCAGTGTTTTAACGGGTCTTGATTTAATGGAACTAGGCACATCACTGATACAGCTTAGATTATAGTACATTGTAGTTCACTGAGAGCAAAATAACAAGCGAGGTTTGCACTGCTGGCCCCTCCTTGCCACAGAGTGCACATGTGGCTTGTGACTACCCGACTCTGGTACAGTGAAGTCATCACTGTCGTCTGTGTGTTAAATAATAATAACACTTATTTGCTTCATTTTAGGCAGACACTTAAATAGATGGCTCTAATATTTTCTTCCTGAACCCCAAAGAATTAACTTGCTTCCCTTGGGGTACACACACTCCTCTTTAGGGACCACTAACCTCAAGAATATTTCCAATGCTCTGCTCTCTCTTTCATCGCCGTCTCCACCATTACATACTGCCATTTCCCTCACAGCGTAGCTCTTCCATCACCAAGTCTGAACTGCACGCGGCTGCCCATTCTCTAGTGTCTTCCATGCATTTCGATGCTTTCCCTCTCTGGACCTCAAGATTTACAAATCTACCCAGAAAAGTACGAAATGAGAACGCAGTTTTACTTTTTTACAATGGGCACTACTTAAGATATAGGCACAAGGATTGTTTATAGTCGTAAGGTATTAGAAACCACCTAAATGCCCATACGTAGGGGAACGATATTATATAAACTACAGGACATGACACAGGGGAGGACAATACACTATGCAATCATAAAAAAGAACAGGGAGGAGCTCTATGAACTGAAGTGGACTGGCTGTTAACGCAAAAAAGGAAGGGCAAAAAAACCATCTACGATATGCTCTTCTATGTAAGAAATAAGGAAAAGAAGAAAATACACATACATCTGCTTAAGGGGGCCGGAAGAAAGAGAGGAGGCACACACCAGAAGCGACTGAGACTGGTTCCTTCCGGAAAGTGGACGGCAAGAGTGAGGGTAGAACAGGAGAATGGGGATGAGGTAGAAAGAACGAAGGGTGAGCGACTTTCCGGAGTATACATGTTGGTCTAGTTGTGACTTTCGAAACCGTATTTTTTTAACATACTAAAAATAAAATAAATAATCAAAATCCACTGGAATGTGGGGGAATGCAAACTGGAAACTGCCCCCTCCCCCTCCCCACACACAAATTACCTAACTGAATTATAAATGAAGAGCATAACCACATCGAGGGGGTTAGGCAAACACTGATGAAGTGAATTTGAAAAACAGTTTGATAGAAGAGTGAATCAGTCAGAGTTCAATCGGAGACACAGAACCAGGGGGACATGTATGTTAAGAGATTTGTTGCAAGGAGCTGGCTGGCTCATGGGAGTGTGGGGGCCGACGAGGCACATCTGAAAGCCACAGGGCAGGCTGTCAGAGGGTGGGGTGGGGCTCAGGCTGTGGGAGGGGGTCTGGCGGGGGTGGGGCGCAGGCTGGAATTTTCAAGTACACGCTGAAGCTATGACACAGGTGCAATTTCTTCTTCAGGGAAGCCTCAGTTCCGTTCTGAAGGCCTTTCAAATGAATGTGTCAGGTCCGCCAAGATTACCTATGACAATGTCCCTTACTTACAGTCAGCCAATAATGGACTTGGATCACATCCACAAAATACCTTCAACGGGTTTGATCACTTGAATAATCGAGGGCTATAGCTTGGCCTGGTAGAGACAAAACTGGCCTTCGTGGATACTATACGGCCAAAGACAGAAAGAAGTCTACACAAATACTGTAGTCAGTAAGGTATTTTTACAAGAATATCTTTTTATGGTTTAGCAATTTTGGAACTATGTTATATGTATTATAGAATAAGTAACAGATATAGCAGATAAGTAACTTTATAGTGCATAATATGATCCACATTTCTTACTATCAGAGAAAGGAGTTACAAATAGGGAAGGTAGGAGGTTGGAATGACCCCTGCGGTGTTGGATTGGAATAGGAGGTATTAGCTTTTAATGTATAGAGATACATAAATAGAGAAATAGATGTAGAAGTACATGAATACATGAGTGTATCCATATTGACATTTTCTAGCTCTGTCCGTCGAGAAGGCCAAGAAGCAATGACAGTCCAGTAGTGACGGGCACATCTTGAGTCCAGGCTCAGGACATACCAGACGCAGAGAAGGACGCGTGGGGTAAAGGCGAGATGCAGAACAATGACCACAAAGTAGAGGCGTGGAATGGGGCTGTTGGGAACTCCCTCGCATGCTGCACAGAGGCTGGCACTGGTCCGCCTCAGGAGTCCCTTGAGCATCAACGTATTATAATGACACGCGACTAATGTCCACAGCGATGACCCTCATTACCACAATCACTTATTTATTATTTAGACACTACCTCCTTTGAAAACAGACATAAGGCCCCTAGTCCTTAAGAAAAGTTTAATTCATATTTAATTTGGTCCTTTCAGCAAACGATTTCCATCAGAAACTTTTATTGGAATTGATGAAAACAAACAAACAAACAAACAAAAACCTGGCCAATTTCTATTGTGGAATTTTAAAATATAAAATTGGCCCTCAAAGGACTAAGGTTCTGCCACCTGGAAAATGAATTTACGTGGAAACTTTTTCTCTCGGTAGTACCATGACAAGGTGCCATGGTTCCGGGTCAGCGGAGGTTGGCGGGGAGGGGAGTGTGGGATGTCGGGGAGAGGGAGACGAGGCGCCCAGGGAAGGCAGGCCAGAAGGTTAATTGATGTGGCTTTGCAAAGGTTGAGAAGGACTGGGAGCCAGGACAGCTCTTGCGCCAGCCTCCCACCTGGAACATTCCTGCAAGGCCCCTGGGGCTGCAGGCAGAGCCTCTGCTCTGGGGCACAGACCCTCTCAGCCCACAGACTCGCTCCCTGGCTTGATCAGGCATCCAGCCTCCCGCCAGGGGCCTCAGATACCGCCTCACTAAAGCAGCAATTTGTCCAGGCAAGGACCCTGGGCCACCAGGCCCACCTCCTTGCCCCCCCGCTCCAGCTCCAAACCTTCTTTGTGTTTATGTCTCCCCTGGTCTTAACCTAGTAGCTCTGTGCTTCCCCTTCTCCGCTTTGACCTCCCTGTGCTCGCTCCCCACTCACACCTCGTCACCGTGTCTTCAGAAACCCTTGCTCCATGGTAGGCATATTCAAGTTATACTTCCCACCGTGGTGGCCTTAAGCGAAACCTCATCCGAGGACATTAAAACCTTGTCTCCAAGGACGCTGCTCCCCAAGAGGCCTAAGGCCACTCCCTTAAACCTTCAAGTCTTCCTCATTT